CATAGGTACATATTTTGCATCTTAAATTACTTTTTATTCTATAATTCTGATGCACATTTTAATTCTATATCTTTTGACGTACTAACTATTGCAAAAAGTGAGTAATAACGAAGATATTGGTCAAAATAAAAAGTTCGCGTTCACGCTCGCATTGAACTGTATGCAGAGATTTACATGGCTTCAACAAATATTTAAATAGAAAACAGCTCAATTTTTTTGGTTTTATATTGCAATATCAATAATGCTGCCGCCACGACGTTTTCGCGCATTTGAAAATATGGAACTGTCAAACTACTATATTGCTGGCAATACTTATCAGCTTAAAAGCTCCGATAATTACACTGGATCACAAATTTTAATTTGGTTTTTGTTCTCCAAACGCAACTATCCAATTTCTATGTAGAATCGCGCGGTGATTCTGAAAATCGAGTTAATTTTTTTTTCTATGGATACGTTTTCGAGGCATTTGCAATTTAGCGTTATTCAGCTTAAAGCAAAAATGAAATTCTCCATAAACCGTATATACATCACTTTCCGATAGGGCTTATAGTTTCTGACAAATTAATTAATCATTCCAGCTTTTTTTATTCTAATGCAAAAATGAAAAAAAAAATCAAACTTTAACAGAAGAAACATTTAAAAAATAACAAGTTCTGTGCTAAATTTTTGCATTTGTACTAAAGCCTGTTGTGTTACAAAAAAAAAACTCAAGTTACTGATGAAGAAAATCGATCGATAAATACGAAATAATGAGTGGTCAAATAAAAATGCGCAAGACTTTTTGTATGAAAATTGAGCACGAAAGAATGTTACACATACGCCGCGTATACCTGAGTAATACGAAAATGTATCCATAGAAATAAATAACTCGATTTTCGGAATCACCGAGCAATTCTACAAAGGAATTGTATAGTGGCGTCTGGAGAACATTTTTGCTGTAAACCAGTGTTATTGCTTGCCAAGAGCAATAGGCGGTCTCCATCAGCAAAATATTGTCTGATAACATTTTCAAGATAAAAACTTTTGCCTGCGGAGACATAGTTATTCGAATTTATACATATGTTATATTAATAATTTTCATGAAAAGGTACAACAATTGCAAAATCAAACATCTTATCATCATATTAAAACTAATATTATTTTTCCACATTTCCATTTGTATGGTTGATGATGATAAGCTCGTCCTGCAATCCCACAGCCCATAATGCAATTTTCTTGAAAACGACCGCATCCAACCGTTCAATGATTTGTACATTCTTTGGATACTTATCCACTTCTTGTAAATGATCTAAAATCATTTGGCCACGGGTATGTCCCGTCAAATCTACAGTTGCATGCCATTTGCTTGTCTTTTTGACAATTGCGGTTTCAAAGAGGAATGCGGCTACAACTAGAGCATCACATGGTATCCAACTCTTGAATCTTGATGGCAGCCATTGCGCCCGCTCCACTTTATTCAATAACTCGATGGCGGCAGACGTTTTCTCAGCGGTTCTACCAAGTTCGTCGAGACGCCAGTTCTGCAAAGTAATACATGTAGATCTGCAAGACAGTATTTTAATTTAAAACAGCCAAGCTATTTTACACATACAATGCATATAAAGAAACGATCCTCCAAGCACGGCTCCCAGGGCAATATTGTGATGGGACATACAGATCTGGCAAGCACTGAATGAGCTGCTTCGGGATCTGAATAGAAATTGAATTCAGCGCAACGTGTGCAATTTCCAACGCCTGATGACAAGATTTTTTATGCAATTATTTAGGGTCATTTTACTAAAAAATAAAATTTTCACCAGTATATTTTAAATATGGAATTTTAATGCTCTTAACCAAACCTTATTCATTCTGATTTATTTCATAATTTAGTTTGGAACCTGTGAAACTGAACACTCTAAGCAAAGAGTTTTCAAAACAAACAAAGGTTTGCGAAAGAGTATAAGTATGGCAGACTCGATGCATCTTTACACGATGAGTCCAAAAGTGATCCTGTATGCATTTTGCGGGAAATTTGAGCTTAGCAATACTTCAGTACTCAAAAGCAGCCAGAGTGGCAGAGAGGCATGGCTGCAAGGGGCGTATGCCGATAGACTTGAGAATGCGGAAGTAATAACGAGATAATGAATTACAAATAATTTAGTCGTAGACGTAATGTTTGGTAATGTTTTGAGCCTTAATGATCTGTGGCTAGCCAACAGTGACTAGTCAGCCTTACCTAATAGCCCAGTTATGCATACTTAGCTTTGCATGAGAGTTGTCACATAAGAATGTGTTAAACGGGCTTTGCGTGTAAGCGGTTGCCCAACGCATAGCACTTAACATGTAGAATTATTGGGCTTTGATTTTTACGTAAAAATGGTATAGCAGTGCAAGTACGCATAACTGGGCTATAACAGACAATTTAATGCGCAGATAAATTTTAAGTTGGAGTCGAGAAAATTTTCATTTGTAAGGTTTAAAATTTGAAAACATAATTGACTTTTCATAAAAAATTTTAGATTTCATGATATGTAAATATATATAGTACATAAGTATGTTTAAGTAAGTTATTTACCTTGATGATTACCGCCCATTATATAAATATCCTTTACTGCATTCGCAAATTGCGCACCAAACATGGAGTAGCAAAGCGCGATGTTAGTTAACGGGCCAACACTTATGATTGTTACCTTTTTCGAATGCTGCAAGTGGCGAAAGGGAATTGGGTGTATGTATGTGTAAAACGTATGAACATCGAAAATTTTTAATAGCTCACTCACGTATGTGCTTACCTGCGTACAAAATTTATTTATGGCCACCACAGCGTGTTCTTTTTGCACCACCTGTTCAATTTCATAATCTTCTTCTAGGGGCAATATGTCGCCGAATCCATCGCGTCCATGAAAATATTTGTCATCATCGAGCGGTTCGTTGAGTGGTATGAGTGACTCGGCAGCACCAAGATAAATGGGAATCTGAGCGGGGGGAGGGGGTGGGAGAAATGAAATTTTGTAACAGCATTTTAACATGTTTGACATTTAACATTTATTTATCATTGTTATCAAATTAAAATATATGTATGTATATACCTCGGTACGGTTGGACGCTTTCAAAATCCGATACATATTCTGAGCTGCATTGTGTAGATCGGTATTTCCACAGCCACAAATTGTCACTCCCAGTAGTGTCAGGCGCTGTTCGGTGGCTGCCTTGAGCAACACCAGTAAGGCCCACGCATCGTCGCTGCCGCCATCACAATCCAAGAGAACAAAACGATTTTGTGTCATTTAACGCAGCAGTTCCCTGTTCGCGCTTAGTATTTTTTTAAATCATCACTTTTCCGTCGACTACAGAAACCGCTTAATGTTCGGAAGAAAGGTATATGTACGAGGGAAATATTAAATTTACGAGTAAACATTTTACTGCGAAAGCATAGGCCTATATGTATGTATATACATATATATTTAGGCACAGAGGTACGCACATACATATCGTCGATGTATTTGCAAAACCGCCCATCGACCAGTTGCAAAATCGCCTGCCTAAATCGCCGTTGTAGCAAAAATTAGATTTGGTAACTCTGAACTCCAGGCATCGAGATTTATTAAAACAACAGATTTGTAAAATAATAGCTAGAGAAAGTACCGCCTGTCATGGCAATGCCTTCAAAGAATAAACCGTTTCTTCGCTCTCCTGTAAGATTTGAGTAACGAAGATGGGCGGTTTTGCAAATACCTCGACGATATGTATGTATAGGTAAAGTAACACAAAATAACTTTTTTTTTTAATTAATTTTTGCCAACGCTTTTTTCTTGCTAAATAAAAATATTCCTGCGTACTTGCTCTCTGCTGTCCGATTATTGCGAGCTGCTCCCAAGAAACTATTCCGGCATACTGAATTGCAGAGCAGAGCAAGTAAGTGCGCCGCGTGTGCGAAGGCGGTTTGCGTTTTACATATCTTACACACACACACAAAAACATGTGTACATATACATATGTATGTATATTCACTTAATCAACCGGCAACGATCACCATTACTGTAGCGTTATTATTTACATTTGCCTTGATATCCCGCACACCAAGTACCTGACGGCATTTGCTAACAAAGAGGTATGTATGTATATCTACATTTGCATATGTATGTATGTATATATAAATATATAAATGCACATATATATGTACATATACAGCACACACTCGAAAACGTGAACAAGCTTTTTTTGTGCATTGACTATTCTAAAACGCGAGTAAGGCGAGAAAGCTCTATAACATGAACAATAAACATTTCAATGTTTGAATGTAGTTCCCATTGAGCTCAAAAATTCTGAACTTAGGGAATCCCCTAATAGTAAGTTACGCGTTTTATTTGTGGTTGCATGTAACGCATAAAACATTTCAGTCAAAATTTTGACTTTGAATGGAATGTTCCGCCTTAGATTTGCTGCTTAAAAATTAGTTATAAGAAGCCTGTGTGCTTGACAATAAAAGAAAAAGCTGAAATTCTCGTTTTTTTTTACAAAAAGGGCCGAGTGTGACGTTCTTAGCGAAGAAATATAATGTTGCTAAGTGAACGTGAAGTGGCATTAATGGAAAAAGAAAAACACTGCGTACTTCAGAATTGCCCAAAATGGAGAAAGCTCTTTATCGTTGGTTTATTCGTATGCGAAATAAGAACTGGCCAATGAGTGCTTTAATGCTGAAAGAAAAAGCCAAAAAACTCCATTCAAAATTTAAGGAAGGCGAATGTGATTTCTACGCTAGTGATGGATAGCTTCAAGGACTCAACAAAAGATACGGCATTCGACTTCTTCAAATATCAGGCGAAAAATTGTCTTCGCAGCCTCAGCTAGGGGATCCGTTTAAAGAAAAACTTAAAGCTGAAATGGCCGAAATGGAGTTGTGCAATGATCAGCTATATAATGCTGATGAGTCCGGCTTATTCTGAAAACTTCTTCCAGAAAAACCGTACGTGTCCAGTTTGCAAAAGAGAGCCAAGCGTAAAGTCGAGAAGCAGCGAATCATGTTCTTGTGTTGCTCAAACGCCACTGGATCTCATAAACTTAAAATTTTTGTAATCGGAAAAGCGAAGAAGCCACGCTGCTTTAAAAACTTTCAGTGTCCCACCGACTACAAAAGCTCAAAATCAGCTTGGACGACGTCGTTCAAATCAGCCTGGATAACAACGCTCCTTTCCAATCCCAATGAAGCTGAACTGACAACAGAAGATTGGCGGATTTTCGCAAATGTTCATGCCACCAAACGTTACTCCCCTCATTCAACCGTTGGATCAGAATGCAATAAAAATGACGAAGCTGCACTACAGAAAAAGCCTTTTAGCTTCAATGGCAGCGACGCAATCTGATTTGGCTCGAGTCGATGAAGAAAATAACATTAAAAAAAGCTATAAATCTTTTGGATGCCGCTTGGGGTCGTGTCGGCGCGAAGAAACCCTAGCTAGGTGCTGGAACAATATTTTAAATTTTACCAGAAACGATGATGATACTGAAGATAGTATGCTGTTGGCGGTTTTAAAAGCAAAATGGTGTGCTGAACCTCGCTCTTTGATATTCAACACCGTCGATATTCTTCACAATTTAAATGCTGAGGTTCGTTCGTGCGCACAGATATGGACAAAGATATGTGAGTTGTTGAAAATTTTGTTCTTATTAAAAATTTCAGCGTGAGTGTACTTTATCAACCGTTCATGAATGGAACGAAGATATTGAGGTAGATAATGCGGATGACGATATTGAACAAGAGGACGAATCCGATGATGACTGCGTCTTAGAGGCACCGGAGCAAATTAAACCAAGTGAAGCAGTAAAAATTTTCAACAAAGCTGTACAGTAGGCTAGCCACGAAGGCGTCGATCAAAACGATATGAATCTACTGAGACGTTTAAGTGAGAAAGCTGTGCTTCAGAAGACACAAAACAAGATGACTGATTTTTTTAAATAAAAAGTTTTTTCAAGCTTACGTTTCATATCATATCTCTTAAACTCAAATTAATATGTAAACAAAACAATAATAAAATGTCAATTTAAATGAGTAAATATATGCGCATTCGAAAACGTGAACACTTTTGTTAATGTGAACTCCCTTGGTTTTAATTAGTTCACGTTATCGGACGTGCACTGTACTCCAGTCTTGCCAGGTAAAATTTTTTTTCCTACCAAAACCAACCAAAACCTACCAACATTTTTTTTTGCCTTTAATTATTTTTCAATGTCAAGTTTATTAAAAATGTAAATAAGATACCATTTAGTAAAACTAAAACACAGCTAGCACAATAAAAACAAATTATAACAAAGAAAAATGAAGGACAGATATTGGAATACCTCAACAAAC